GTAACAGTTAGGGTTAGCTATGAACCAGTAATGGTCAGGGTTATCTATGGACCCGTAACAGTTAGGGTTAGCTATGAACCTGCAATGGTTAGGGTCAAGGGTCAGGTGGGTTAGGCTGTAGAAATATATGGAATTCAGTGGAGACGCCCTGCAAATATAGTGAGACGAGTGTGTGTGTTTGTGCTCAGTCCACTTTTCCTCACAGCTTTAGGAGGGTTAATGACAGATATGTAAGTAGGCAGCGTGACCTGTTCTGCTGCACATGGAGTTTATTTGCTGTGGTTTTAGTTGTAGCTTTCACCCTCAGCCCCCGAGGCACGGACACGTCTGTGGTTTTCCCTCCCAGAGAGCAGCGATCTGACAAGCAGCACAGACCAAATCCAGGCCAGGTCTGGGGCTATGATTGCTATGCATCCCTTAGGTATGGAATAAATACAAGGGCAGTAAGCAGATCCACCGCAGGGGAGTGGAGAGTTTTCCAGACTTACCATGTACGCCTTGACGGGATATCTCTTATCCTCATATGTAACCTCATAACATTTAGAGCTTTTCAGCAATAAAAACAGCTTTGATCTCCTGTGGAAAGTCGGGCAGGTTTAATGTCTGACTTAAAGGGCCATTAGCTGCATTTTTATCTGGTAGCAGGGCTGCTTGGTTCGTCTGAATGAGAAGTCAGGGTGTAGCTCCCCTTGAGGTAGGAAAAGCAAGCTTCTGATTGGAGAGCAGTTGTTCTCAGAGAGCTCAGAAAGACAGCGGATCAGTCGCTCTCTACCGCCCCTCAGAGCGCTTCAGCTGATTTACCCCTGAGCAAGGCACTAAGCCTTCTGCAAAGAGAGAAATGTGATTATTCAAAGCAAGCAGCTTTGTGTTAATGGAGTGTTTTTACTTTAAATAAGGAGCAGTCCTCTAAATATGTAGTTTTTTATCTGTGTTGGAATACCCCCACCCCCACCCTTTCCCTCCATCAGTGGAGCACACCACACACACTTGTCCAAACTTGCCATGTAATTTGTGGATTAGCAGTTGTCTCTAATGGAGGAGACCTTCTGAGCAGCCCCTCTGCAGCCGAGAAAAATGACGAGAAGAGATGGAAACAGATGCTTGAGATGAACTCAACTTCTTCATGAGCGATTGTGCTCTTCATCATCTTTGTTTTCCTTCTTTCTGAACTGATCATCCAGACAGTCCACCAGGCATCAGTCATTCAGACTCCTATGATAAACAGAAAGAAAAAATAAGACATGGAGATTTTCTAGATCTCCACCTTTAACTCATTGAGTTTCGAGGTGTAACTCTGTGATGAAAGTTGGTGGGGACACTCTAAGGTTGGGGACTGATGGACCTACAGTTAGTTGCACGTTGCATATCCATAGAAATCTGTTTCACCTTTAAATCCGCAGCTCTCCCTACTTCTCTCTCTGCTCTGTTTAAAATAATTTATGAACCTCTTTGCTAATATAATGATGCCAGCGAGAAAATTTCAAGATATGTAGAAGCTCTGCAGTCTGATTCTGTCTGCTCAAGAAAACGTGTTAATTTTAACCTGTAACTGGGAGAAATGGTCGTCTGAGAAGCCAAGCTTTTTTTAACTAGTAAAAGAGAAGAGTAGAAGAACAAAGTATGTTTTCTCAAGCTTCTTGCATTATAATACTAACTTCTATACACTTACAATCTGTGGACATTTTCAGCTGAAAAAGCTCTGTATGTCTAAGAAACAGATTTTTCGGTGGCATCCACGTTTTTTTTACCACCCCATGTCTTCTCTCTTTTACTTAAACATCGAAGTAGATACTGGTTAAATTCCCTGAGTGCTGCTGTGTGTCTCTCCTCCAACCATGTAGCTACTCTGTACATCAGTGAAAGCAACAAATCCCATGATGTTACATCGAGAGGCGGGACACAGGAGCAGCGGGAGAGATTTAAAACTCTTTGACCACAGATAACTGCACCCAACCTCCGTTACCTTTGGGTAAACGAAGGAAGGGGGGAAAAAGTGTAGATTATTGGTGTGAACATGTCCACACCAGTCCTTCATAAAGTTACGCCTGTGGTGGGAACAGACACTCTGGTTCAGGTGATGATGGAGCCACTGTGAAGTGTTAGCTGAGCCCACATCACCAAACTTCTGCTCAGTAATGGGCCCATCACTACCACTAAGCAAAAATTGGTTTAAAAGACCTTGTTAAGACGACTTGATTTACCTCCAAACGACGTCAACAATTGAAAAGCGAAATGTCGTAATGTCCAGATCGTTGAAAACTGGTTTTATGACGTGTTTTTGATGTCTATTATTGGACTAAAAAAGGACAAAATCTGACCAACCAAAACAGACCAAGTTTCATCAATGATTTTTGGACAGAATCAAGACTATGATGGACCGACCAGATTTAACATAAAAACCAACGTCTAAATGATGTCTCCTTCAGCAGTGTGTCGCAGTTAGCTTGTCGCAGCTTGGCTTCGGGTGCAAACCAACAGACCGTCGCTCAGAGCTACAAACTAGCGTGCTGGGATAGTGTCCGAGGTGTGCCAGGCGTTATGGACGGCACTACAGCCAAAGTTTCTGCCATTAGGTACCAAACAGGAAATACACATTGTGTAGAGTGGATGCCTCCTGTCTGCGGCACTGTCTGCGGTCACCTACATTTTTGGGCAGGTTCACCAGAGTGTCTGGTGGGGGGCATATCTGTGTTGACTGCAACACACGCAGACAACCTGGTTTCTGAGCATAAACCAGAATTTAGGTGAGCCCACATCAAACTTCTGCTCGGTAACGGTCCGTCACTACCCACCCAGCAAAAATTGGTTGAAAAGACATTGAAAAGGCGAAATGATTTACATCCAAACGACATCTACCTACGGTTGAAAGGCAATCCTTCCGGAAGCAGAACCACGCTGCCTCGTCCCCTCAGCTTGTTAGACCAACAGTTTTATTTCGGGACAGAGGATTCAGATCACACTCTGTGCGTGTTTTGGTTCATATTTAACAGTCGTTTTGCTGTGGACCTCGCCGAGCAGACAAGCTCTCCGTTGCCATGGATACTGTATTTTCTGTTAGATATATTAAGGTTTGAGCCTTTTTCTGTCTTTGTTTAGTTTTCTAAATGAAGATTTAGTTTGGAAGTGAGCCAGAGAGCAGAGGAGAGGCTTGCTGAGAAGTCCCCCTCTTCCTGAGAAACACTCCACAGAGACACCTACACATTCCTGACGGCACAAGGCATGACTTGTTACGGAGGCTCTTCACAGCGACGTGTTAAGGTGAGAGCAGGCGCTCACCACTGGGCTGTGTGCATCCAGAGGGGCAGCGTTGATTTAGGGGGGGGGGGGAGTCTCCCCTGTCTGCATTAGGAGAGCCTCCAGCCTTTGTGATTCCTTTTGATCAAATCACTGTGAAAGATGAGTGTCATGCCCTCTTCCAGCCAGCTGTGAGGGGACTGCCCTGTGACGGGGGAGGGGGGTAGACATGTCTGGGGCTGCGTTCTGAGAGGGCGCACACACCTCCATGTGTGTGTGTGTTTTCTGTGGTGGCTGGGGAGGGAGCAGGCAGCTCCTGAGGTGAGAATGCTGAGTGGGAGGATCTCATTCCAATCCCCTGTGCCCAGTTTACACACACACACACACACCCCCACACACACTGAACATCTTGAGTAGTTTAGAGGGAATCCACTGCAACATTACAGGAGAAAAAGCACGGGAGGCGCATGTGTGTAGCCAGAATAAAGCTGGTTCCTTTGGACTGACTGCCTGTAGCTGTTTGGATGTTTCTTAGGAGAGAAGAAGAGAGCATGAAGCTCTGCTAAAGGAGGACTGGAGGGACTCCCAGAGCATGGCCAAGTCCAGCGTCTCCATAGAAACGTCCCACTGAGCGACCATGGCTGAGGTAAGGCACTCAGCGCTTCTCTTCAGAACCAGAACCGGGAGGAGGTTTGATGTCAGAGATCTGGTTCCTTCTGAAGCCAAAAGTTTAACTCTTCTTGATCCCCTTTGATCATTTTTTAGAAACTTTTTCTTAAATGCCTTCAGAACAAAACAGAGAACAGAGCATCTTCAGCAGAACTTTGATCAGAATCGAGGATCCGGATGTTTAGAAGGATGCAGAACAATATGAAAAGTATTTGCTAAAAACAACCTTCCAATGAGGCAAAAAGGATGCGGCACTTTGCTGCGTTCAGCTTCGGTTCTCTGTGGATTATTTCATCCACAGATTCATTAAATATTTCATTTCTGGTCACCTGAAAGTTTTTGGGATGAAACGTGTTTTCTTCTTTACAGTGAAAGTCAGTTGGTGATTCTGAGCTTATTGTAGGAGAAGCCTTTCTGGGGTGACCAGGGCCTGGTCCCGATCCGACATGTTGTCCCGATCCGGCAGGTTGTCCCGATCCGGCATGTTGTCCCTCAGAACCCGTTAGAGAAGGTGAAGCGTTTTAGCTGCAGCAGTGGGTGAGCAGCTCTAATGCAGCAGCAATGTTTCCATAAAAGCTTGAGCAGCAGAGCAAGGAAATAATCTCTGATCAACGGAACAAGAACAAATGGAAATCTTCATGTTCCGATAAAAAAAAAAAAAAGACCTCAAAACTGAACTTCCAGATATGTTTGTATTCACATAAAACTAATATCTAAATAAGTCATTTTTGCCTAAATTGAGGATGTAAGTGAGACACTTTGCCAACGGTACAAGAAATGTTACATTTAAAATAAGAAAAAACTATTGTACTGTCTAATTTCAAGTGCATATTATCTAATTATCTCATTTAAATTTCATTGGCAGATCATCTTATTTACCCACTCTAATAAAGGATAAATACAATTAATTTAAGACATTTTGACTTATATCTAGATAGTTTTTGCATTGAAAATACTTTAAAATCAATCAAGAATAAATCCAAACATAATTCCTTCCTCTGAGCAGGTCAGTAAACAGCCTGTAAACCAAACGGCTGATCTGGGCCCTTAAATAGGATCATATTTTTATTCTGAAATTCAAATAACAAAAAAAAAGTTTGATTTTTTTCCTTAAAGTGCAAAACTAATTATTCAGATTATTTTACCCACAAACTGAAATCAAACAGCAAAAAACTAAATTTAAAAAAGTCCTATTTTCTTTAAACAAATGTATTTTTCTTGAATTGAGGAGGTAAGTGAGACACGTTGCCAATCGAACAAGACATTTATGTTTATAATAATAAAAATCTATTAGATTGTCTTATTTCAATTGCATATTATCTAATTATATCATTTTAAGAGTAAAAATACTAATTCCACTAGCAAATAATTTTTTTAACCTACTTTATTCAAGGGTAAATACACTTGGACTCACACCTTTTTTTCATGGAGATAAAGAGATTAGATTTTTAAACATGTCTGATGAAAATAAGGAACAGCGACATGACAGAGAAGCTTTATTTCTGCTAATTTCTCCATTTTTTTCTTCCCTCTGTTTAATTCTTTGGGCTGTGAACAGAGAAGACTGGGACTTGGGGCCGTTGTCCATCCGTTTTGAGCACAGTTTCCCTCTCTAATGTGGATCATCAGCTGCTTCAGCCCATCAGGGTCTGTCTGTGACTGGATGAGGAGCTGGAGGGGGCTGCCTGAGCCTTTTACCCCCTCAGCGTCTCCTCGAGCTGTGATCTGGCCCTGCTGGCCCCTGACTAACTCTGCAAGCCCACCAGTATGCTCTGGCTGCGCACCGTAGTATCTGCACCGCACAGCCACCAAAAGGCTTGTAAGGATTTGTCAGTCAGATGTGACCAGATTGGGAAGAGGCAGGAGGGGGGTGGGGGGGGGTGTGATATTAATCTGATCATAGCTGGAAGCCAGACTCTCTCAGACTGGGTGTACCAACATGTTCCCCTCATTTCCTCGCAGCCAAACCCTCCCTCTGCCTCTCTAACTTCCAGGACGCTCTGCCGTCCGTCCGTCCTCGCGCTCACAGATCTCTGTCCTGAAGGTAGTTTTGGAAGAGGCCGGCCCTGCCCTCATGGAGCTGCAGGTAAACCTTTACCTAACCTCTGCCACTGCTGCAGAGTAGCTAACTACTGGAAAAACGCTCTAAAAAGAAATAGAAATGTCTTAACTTTAGTTCATCTAGCCTTAATTTAGGTTATCTGCCAATGGAATTAATATTTTTACTCTTTAAATAAAATAATTAGAAGAATGAGAAATTAAATAATTCATTTTTTGTTTCTTATTTAAATGTAAATTGTCTTCTTCTATTGTATAAGTATTTCACTTACGTCCTAAATTCAAGAACAAATCATTTAACTTATTTAGATTTAATTTATTTGCTGTATGTACTTCAGTACTTTTCTTGAGTATCTTTACTTTATTACATTTCTAAGCGTGTACTTGCCAGATAACAGAAATTAGGAGTGAATCTGGTAGCCACTGATTTAGAGATTTAATGTTATTTGTTGCCATGTGGCCAAGTTGTTCACCAGGATGAGTCTCAGAGCAGAGTTATAGTTTCCAATAGATTCAACATTTAACCTCTATTCTATAGAGGAAGAATGATTAGAATCAAAACTCTCCCCTCTTTTCTTTTTGGTTGGTTTTTAAAGAAGAACTAATAATAAAATATCTGTCCTTAGTTTTGTGGTATTTTGATGCTGCAGTTCTATCCAGGTGGTGTAGAATCTATAGCAGGGTGTTCTATGCTTCAGTACATCAGGTGGTTTCTGAAATTACAGGATCTTTAAAATTACTCCGAAAATTAGACAGAAAAGTTCTGATATTAAAATTAATTAATTTGCCTTTTTGAATAGTTGAGTACTTTTAAATGCATGTACTTTTAAATACTTAAGTATTTTCAAAGTGAGTACCTTCGTACTTTAACTTCAGTAGATTTAAGATATGACTGAGTATAAATACTTTAACTGAAGTAGTACTTTGTCCAGCAGTGGTCTGTTCTGTGGATCATGCTGGGCGGCTGCTGACTGACTGACTGACTGACTGCAGGAGAATTTCTCCCGGCTGCCTAAAGCTCTGCAGCCTGTCTCTACATGCTGCGCTCATTTCTTTAAAAAGAAATGAGCCATCTCCATTTTAAACCAACTTCTTCCTCCTTTTTTGAGCTTTAGATAGAAGCTGGACAGAATCAGACAGTTTCTGTTTTTGCAATGGATTGAAAAATGTGTACACCAGAAAAACGAGCTCGAAATAAGTAAAAAAATATCTTACTTTAAGTGTATTTACCTAATTGGAGTACACAAATTAGATATTTTGCCAATGGAATTAGTAATTTTACTCTTAAAATAAGATCATTAGATAATATGCACTTGAAATAAGACAATGCAAATGTGTTTTCTTATTTTAAATGTAAATTGTCTTGTTCCATTGGCAAAATGTCTCTTTAACTTCCTCAGTCCAAGAACAAATACACTTATTTTAAGAAAAAAATGACTGATCTAGATTTAGATTTGCAGTGTACAGATGTTTTCTGACTGCAGCTTTATTTTATCCAGATAAATTGATCTGTGTGGAAAATGATGTACATTTTTCTCTGTTGATTAAAAACTGACTTTGTTTCGCTTTGTGATTGTTTCCTCATTCAGTAAAAACACAGCCACGTTGCTGAAGTCTGAATAAAAAACACGCTGAAATGTGAACTGATGTGTAGGATTTAATTTAAGTTTTGGTTTTATTAACATTGCTGTTTTGGTTTGAGCAGAGGTGTAGAAGGCAACAGCAGATTTAGATTCAAAGTGCCTCAGGAATAAAATAGTGAACATTCTCACTTTATCAGCTTAAATTTCTGATCAAGTCTTAAAATTATTTCTTTGCTGTTTTTTGTGTCTGGATTTTTATCAGTCAAACATGATAAATATTCAGACACAAAGAAACCTGATGGTTTCTTTGTGTCTCTGCGAACAGTAGGGCGTGAGAGCGTGTTCCTCCTTCTCGACGTTAGCTTCCCAGCAGGTTAGCTCCTGCCTGTTATCCTGGACTCGCCCAATCAGAGCGGCCTTTTCCCTTCCTGTCATCCAGGCTCAGGCCAGGAGGACATCAGGACTTTTTCCTCCTTTTTTCCATACCTGACCGCGGCTCCTCATCCGACCTATGCAGCGTGAGCAGCACTCAGGCTGTCATATAAAAAGCTTTATGGTTTAACAGAAACAAAGTACTGATAACCTGAGGATCAGAAGACAGGAATCCTGCAGACTTCCTCCTCTGAAAGGTTGCAGGTGATGCTGAGGAGCTCTGCCAGCTGCAGACAGCGAGATGTTCACAGCCTCACAAACACATATGAACAAACCTTAACGGCCATCAGGAAGTCAGTTACCTTAACTTGAACCCTGAAACTTTTTGATCCGCAGTTTTCCTGCAGACACTGTTCGTCTGTCTGTGATCAGTGGTTTCTGACAGGTAAATGGACGGGTCGGTTCGGGTCTCGCTGATGGGCCTGAATGCGAAGAAGACTGCAGGCAGTAAGCTGTGGCTCTGAGGCTGAGTGACCGGCTTCATTCTGAGCAATTAGCATCTCTGTCACTTGCTTCCTTCATGCAGCCCAACAGCTCCTGCTTTGTTGTGACAATGGCAAAGAGGAAGAGCCAGGCCCAGCCCCGCCAGGCCTGGTCAGGCCAGGCCAAGCCAGGCCAGCGCGGGGTGCCATACTTCCTCCCATTCTTCTTCTCCTTCTCTTTGTCCTCCTCTCAAAAAGTCATGAAATGAATCCCTAATTAAGACGAAAGAAGGGCGAGCACAATTAAGCATAATGTGTGTGTGTGTGTGTGTGTGTGTCTGTGTGTGTGTGGTGGGGGGGGAAGTGCGGGGGGGAGTGTTTTTTTTTGGGGGGGGGGTGTTAGCTGGAGCACACAGATGTGTGTGTGTGTTTGGGAGGGTTGATCTAGGGTGTGTGTGTCCACAGTGGGCTGGGATTAGGCTAATTGCGCTGATGGGGTTCTTATGCTCTCATGCCTCAAGGTTGTACTGAGGAGCCTGGTTCTGGTGGTTCTGGTCTCGATGCGTTAAACGTTCGGCTGTGGACCCATGAAGATTAACTGGTGTGTATGACGGTCAGGCAGCTTTTCATTCTCTCTCATGATGAGAGGCTAGAGCCAGGGGAAACCATGTGGTTGTAGATCCTAAGGACTTTGATCGCAGAATCAGTCCCTGACCCAGCCAGGAGGAGGCCGGCGACCCATCCAAACCAGCCTTCACTCCTCCTGTGCCAGAGAAGAGGGAAGGAGCATCAGCAAGGAGCTAAGCATTCTGCTCGTGTCTGCTACAACCCCACTGATCATCTATTATAGATGCAGAGGGAGAGAGGCGCTGGAGTGGAGCCATTCCAAGGTTTCTGCGTGAACCACTAAGAAGAGAGCAGCAGCTTTGATCAGGAGGATGATGAAGCTTTTTTTTTCCTCCTGCACTGAAACATCTTTCCATGTCCCTTTTGTTAAGGATGCAAAGAGCTGCAGCTCCATGAAGGAGAAATCCCACTTCGTTCTGATCAGGGGGTGTGTGCTGCACTCCTCCATACAACCGTCCTCTTCTGCAATCGTAAAATGAATGACAAACATTTATTTAGCAAATCGATTAATCTGTCGATTATTTTTCAATTTCCTTTAACGATCAATAATCAGACAGCAAAAGGTTCTTTAAAGAAAATTTTTAACCAAATTAAACCAGGTGAAAGAAAAACATATTCTCTAGAGGAGTAATAAATATAAATAAAGCAGAATGACGTGATTTTTTTTTAATCTTAAATGCAAAATGCTTACATATTTTTTCAAAATTTTTCTATAATTGCTGCTCAAGGTTGGTTGCTCTACCAGCTAAAGACACATTTTAAAGTCTCTATACTCCACTTAATGATTTATCGATTAGTCAATTAGTTGACAGTTATTTCTATAATCACTATTAATTGTTTCAGCCCTACATTTATTCACAGGATAAAGGACGGGATTATTGTTATGTCTCTGTCAGGGTTGGAAGTTTCTTCTGGATGGCTTTTTTTCCCCGGGATTTTTCCAATTTGTTTTTTCCCTGCTGGAAGAAACAGTTTCTTCAATTTTCTATTTAATTCATTTCTATAGCTCCAATTCACATCAGGTCACTTTCCAGTTCACCAGATCATCCAGTCAGATTGATTCAAAGTTTTCTATCTAAGGAAAACCAGCTGATTGCATCGACTCATTGACTCTTCAGCAATCCCTCACACTAAGCATGCTTGTAGCGACAGTGGAGAGGAAAAACTCCCTTTGAACAGGTAGAAACCTCCAGCAGAACCAGGCTTAGTGTGAGCGGCCATCTGCTGAGGCTGATTGGGTCTCATTTTCCATCTTCCAGTGTCTTCTGGAAAAACTTGGAAGTTCAACATTAGTGGAATGTTTTATTTCTTCTGTTGAATATTCTGCCTTAAGCAGGCCCAGATCCAGCAATATTCCTGGGGTGGCGTTCAATATCTATAAAGCAGGGAGGTTTGAGGGCATGAATAGCAGAAGACCTGAAAGAAAAGAAAGACAGCTGGTCGAATCTGAGAATACAAGAAAGGCTAAAAGTAAATGATCACTTCTGTATTAATATGTCTAATTCCCTTATGGGTTTTCTCAGGTGGGTTTTCCCTAAGGGTGTTTGTTACTTTGCAAGTTTTGCGACCATTTGTTATTTATTCATCTAGATTTGTATTACATAAATGTATTAAATTATATAAATACCTAATTTGTATCACTTTGTCTTTTCTTATAAAGATTTCTCCTCATGTAGCTTTCAGGATAAAGTGAGATGACTTTTCAATTGACCCGTCCCAGTTTCTTCCAGAAGAAATGGAAAAAATACCCTTTCTTTTAGTTTTTTTTTCATGAAAATGAACGTAACTCTGCTATTAAGAGCTGATTTCTGTTTCCTTCTGGTTTCAGGCTATCTGCTGCACCTTGGTGAACTGTAACTGTGACAGCTTTAAGCCCGGGAAATTGAAGAGGAGACAGTGTGAGAGCTGCAAGCATGGCTGGGTGGCCCACGGTGAGCGAGGAAACATCCACAGCTTCAGGAACGCTCAAACCGTCTCCTCTGGAGGAGTCTAAGAACTCAGACTCACTGGTTCGTTCAGATGATCATGGCCCGACTAATCCTGGAAGGACCATCATCCAGAACTAGAACGTTCCAGAGTTTCTACAAAAACCTTTTCTGCACATGAGAATAATTTCTGTATTTGTAGATCAAACATTACTTGGAGTTATGGAAATATGCAGAAATATGTCTGAATTTTCATTAAGCAGCAAAGTATTTTTAGAGATTTCTCTTTAATCTAAACCCCCCCATCCCCCGCCCCTGTATTCCAATCAGTTTATTTTCATATGGATCTATATTTTAGCAATATCCCAAGGTACTAACTCACTCCCTGAACCATTTCCCAACACCTACAATCGTTTTCCTCCTATTTTATGAACCATTTTTTTTGTAAAACTCTTCCTTTATATCTAATCCAGAACAATGTGGTCCATTTGTTTTAGCACTCAGCAAGCTGAAGGTACACCACATGTTCCAGAGCAGCCAGGTGGAGATTGTGCACTCCAATGTGGTGTTCGATATTTGCAGCCTGATGCTGTACGGCACCCAAGCCATCCCCATCCGGCTCAAGATCCTCCTGGACCGTCTTTTCTCTGTCCTGAAACAGGAGGAGGTCATCCAGATCCTCAACGCACTGGACTGGACCCTGCAGGACTACATCAGAGGATATGTGCTCCAGGTGAGCGTGGTGAAATGCCTCCCTCCTCTGATCAAATGGGTCAACTCTAAAGAAATGTGGAAGCCAGTTCTGATTGTAGACGAGTCATACAAAATCCTCTTCGTGCAGCAGAAGCAGGAAGTAGTTCTGCACTATGCGTCCTGCAGCTAGGTTTTGCAAGGTACAACTTGTCTGACTCCACCATGTGGCCCTGCTTGCAGTGAGACAGAACCGCTCAATCAACCAGAATAGCTTTGAGTTCAGAGCAGAAGAAAATTTGCGTTGCCTTGAGGCGGAAGAAGGCCAGACTCCTACTTCAGTTTCTGCAGGGCAGAGTAGGTTGGAACCAGGATAAGCTGGTGTTTTGTGTTGGGCATTAAACAACATTGGTGGAAAGTAACAAAGTATATTTACTAGATTACTGTACTTAAGTACTTTTTCTGAGTTCCACACACACTGGAAAAAGTCTAACCTTGGTAAAATAAAAAGAAATTATGTCAAGATATCACATCTATAATATTTGACTTCCCAGAATCTGATGATTATTTTATGTTCATGTAAACAATAATTCTGCACTTGTTGTGCAAAATGATATCCTGCAGATAACGAATAAAAGAATAACTAGAACTGGAGTTATAGTTAATTATTTAACTTATTCAAAATCGGAGGAGAAATCAGGTTAGGGTTCTTAGTTGAATAATTGTAGCTTAAATTTTCATTCTTACCAGGGTTTATGGCTTTCACCTCTGGATGGTTCCTGGACCGGCTGTTAAAATCCAGTTATCCAGACCAATCTATTGACCCAGGCTAGGTTATCAGCAGAGCTATTAATTATCAATCAAAGAACATTTTTATCTCTGTTTATTCACACTGTTACCAAAGGAGGGTGGATCTGGCCTGAGTGATAAACCATCCGCTATATGGATTACAAGACCTCTACAAGTTAAATAATGATGTCTTTATTCTAATAATTCAGGATTACAAAAATCTCACATCTATGTAAAACACTACACGTTATTAGAAAATAAACACGAGGTAGACTAATTGACTAAATGGGGGACGCACGGTCCGGCTTCAGCTCTACCCGGGTCCGTCTTCACCAAGGGTCCTTTCTCGGAAAAGTTTTAAGTCAGTTTGATGCTAAAGCAGGGGGCTTGATGGGCTTTGGTGGAGGAAGGTTTACTTACGGAGACTATCAGGCAGAGGCGTCCCCCTGCCGATAGGCCGTGATGTTTGTAGGGAGGTCCTCACAAAGGGGGGAAACTCAGCTCAGCGTTCAGCTCCAGAGATTTCTGTCTCCCCAGTTCACTATGCACGATGGGACACTGCGATCCGTGACTTTTGACGTAGGTAAAATGAACGCTACTTCCAGTTAGCTTTCTTTTAGCATTTCACTTGAAAAAGGGCCTCTCCTTACAGGCGATGAAACCCAGGGGAAGAGAGAGATTGAGCTCGCGCTCTGAGTTTTAAACCATGAATGATGAAGGGGTATTTCCTGTTGAAGTATCAGCCTCCTCAATCACCTTCATCGAATTGATTTGGGCTCCATTGTGGCATTATATCCCAACACACTTGACGCAACTTATAATTTTTGTCCTGTTCCAAATGATTTTCAGAACCTTTCAGTTGATGAACCAAACTATTATATTGATATTGAACCAACCTAATGTACTTACCAGTGACGGCCGGGTATCCAGGATTTAACTCCAACTAAACTCCACACTGAACCTTCAAGCAATGTTTGTTTAGCTCTGGATGTAGCCCGGTGGAACGAGCGACGGCTTTTGTCTAGCTAACGTTAGCGATTCATTGTCATAACGTTATCGGGTAAATGCGTAAACCCTCTTAGACGTCAGCTAGCTAATATTAACTACTTACCTAGCCAGGTATAACATTGATTATATGCAAATACTTTTCCTAATTGCGTTTATTTATGGGCAAAATCCACCCGGGATGTAGAGACGACGAAAATGGCGCTCTCTCACGGTCTGGGACTTGGATTTTATCACGTGATCTGACTGCAGCGTGCAAAGCACAATTCACATTTGACTCAAACAAAAGAAATTACCTGCAGGTCATGAATAAATATATATTGAGAGAAATCCAAAAACTTTGTTTTGGGTTCTTTGTACTTCTATTTAGTTCAGGTTAAATCAAACTTTACGTCTCAAAATCCAAAAAGAATGAGTTACACAATAAAATCAATAATTTTATCGCATTTACAGTGACAATCATTAGTTTGAATGAAGCGCTACATGTTTCAGTGCAGTGAGAAACTCAGAGCACTGTCCTCTTTAATTTTGGTAAAATATTTGGCAAATTTAGGTAATTTTTATTAAAATAAGAAATAATAATATAATATCTGTCCTTATTTTTTGTGGCATTTTTTTGCTGAAGTTCTTTCCAGGTGGTGTAGAATCTATGGCACGTGGTTCTAGGCATCAGTACATCAGGTGGTTTCTGAAAATAACAGGTTCTTTAAAATTACTCTGAAAATTAGACAGAAATGTACTGATATCAGAAAATGTCATTTGTATTTTGGAATACTTAGATACTTTAAAATGCATGTACTTTTGAATACTTTAACTTGAGTAGTCTTTGACCGAGTAAGTTTTACTTGTTGTTGAATACATTTTGACTATGAGTATTAATAATTTCACTGAAGTAATACTGGTGAGTACTTTGTGCACCACTGCTAAACACAAACCAGTGCTGGGGTATCAGAACGCGCTCTTCTAGATACTGTGGGATGGCCCAAAGGGATATATAATGAATGGTCTTCATGTCACCAATCGTTGTGGTTAAATTAGGTCAGTCACAAGAATGGTTTTATTGAGCCATTTATATAAGCAAAATCTGAAAACCTTAACTCTTCCTGACTGATTGTCAAAATATATGCCTAGATATATTTGAGGGATATCATATGAATCATTTGATCAAAGTTTTATTTATTTTTTCTTTAAAGGAAGGAAGGAAAGCCTTTGGAGATGAAATGTTCCCAGTTTACTGGCGTATTCCAATTTACTGGGAACTTGGTTCAGACCAGTCTCCAGGCGCGGCTCATAGATTTGTAAATATCATGTCTTTTGCTCAGGAATCTGACTGAAGCTGATGCCAAGATGACTGAGCGCCAGACTACAGGCTCACTGACAGCACAAGATCTCATTTCAATTTGTGCATCATCAAAAATTCAAATTGGGATGCATTTGATTTAAGTTAGTGGATTTAGGAGCAAGAGCAGAGTCCGAATCCTCGACAGACACCCAACGAATGCTTTGTGATAAAATATTCATGGTGGTTACGGCATGGAGCCGCTCTTCCATTTCAAAGGCCCTCAAAGTCAGATGTGATTAGAGCTGGCCGGAGACCTGCTGGATCAGGGAGGCTCTGTCTGATGCAGGGCGTGTGTGTGACGGATGTTATGAACATCTTTATTTTCGCATAGAATTTCAATTGTGTGTGGGTTCTTGTTTTTCATTTATTATTTCTGGAAAAATAGCATGTTGCGGGGACTGACTGGCCCTGTTGGGGCCCCGAAGCCTGGACATCACGAGGTATTGCTGTTTTGGGGTCGGGTCACGTTTAGGACTAAAATGTGACCTGAGTTTAGGATTGAGTAGAGTGGCGGCTGGTGGAGTCTTCTCCAGGGGAGACTATAAATTCAAAATAGATGTATACCAAAAACTAATCAAATGTATACGAAGTTATCACAACAATATATTTACATGAATGTCAACAACACAATCCAACATTTTAAACTGTTCTGCAAAGTGCTTTAAATCAGTCCTAGCTGTCTTTATCCATGCTGGGTCAGATTATAAAGTTTGAAAAAAGAGGCAGGGAAAGCAGAATACAGCGTTAGCCTTGCTGCATGCAGTTAGCCAAGCCTTATTGTTAAATAATTCTATAAACCTGTCAATCAGCCGCACTTTCTAACAGACGACAGTGACGTCAGCGCTGTGGAGGGAGGTGGTGTGAAAATAAAGGTCCTCTCAGCCCTGGCAGCAGGAGAGCTGCGCCCCAAGATTCTCCGATCTTTGGCATCGAAGAGGAGCTGCTGTGCATGGACAACTTTTAACCAGAGTCTATGGGCAAAGACTTTTGCGCCCCAAGGCAGAAATTGATTGGTTTATTGACTTTATTGATCTAATAGTGGAGAAATGTACCCATTACATCAGCTCAAACAGTGAAAAAGAAGGAGAATGTGCCAAATGAAGAAGAGGTGTATGGGAGTATATACATTTTATACAGTGCATCCATATATATATATATATATAT